CTGCGGGCACGGGGGCGATTCCCGCCGCGGGGAGGCGGCGCGCGGGGCACGGAGCGGCCCGGGGGCAGGAGGCGGCTGCTCGTGTGCCCTGAGGACACCCTCAGGAGGGACAGCGGACACGGCGCGGGGAGGGCTGCCCAAAACGCTTCCCAACCCCGCAAAGCGCTGGATAAGTTCGGGCTCGCGGAGTCTCCCGCACTCCTCCAAGCCAGCAAGGAGATGCCAGAGCAAGAGCCTGAGGCAGGACACAGGCTGAGCACAGCCGGGCGCCCTGTGCACAGCAGGAGAGGGCTCAAGGGCAAGGGCAGCGCAGCAAGGCGCCGTCCAAGCCTTGGCCCCCCGCAGCTCCCCGGTAGCGCCCGCGCTGCTGCCGGGCGCGGGGCCCCGTCTCGCGGCGCGCGGGGAAGGCTCCGAGAGGCCGCGCGCGCCGAGCGTCCTCAGCAGCTCCCTCGTTGGCGCTCAAGGTTGCGCAGCCCTTGCGAGGAGGCAGCGGGGCTCGAGGCAGGGCCGAGCGTGCAGAGCCCGCCACCGGCCCTGCGCCAGCACCGCGTCCAGGGCCAGCACCGTGAGAGCCGCGTCCTGGCACACACACCACTCCAGTTCCTTACGGGGCGTGCGTGCATGTATGTATCATCTCTTAACACATCAAGTGTTTATGTTTACGCTACTTTAATGGCTCTAAATGTTGACATCACCTATTGTTTTTTTCAGGCTCTTTGCACAATTCTTAGTAAGTGTTCAAGGATTTGGAAATACAGGTGACAACTAAAATGGAGTGCTGGTTCAACACAACCCATAGTGCTGTGGAAGGAAGTTCACTGAATTCCACTGTACTTGTGTGCCTTTCCTTGGCCAGCTGCCTTATGTCATGTGTAAGGCGGTGTGATTCTGTGTGGCTTCCACTGGCTTGCTGCCTTTTAGTTCTGCACTGTAAAAATAGTTCTGCACTGTTTTTATTGACTGGTCCGCTTAAACTCAATCCTTAAATCTGAAAACCTATTAACCTTAAGCAAAACATAAGAAGATGTCTTCAAGCCCTATCCACAGTAAGAGAAAGCAGGTAATGGACCCTGATATTCCTCAGTACAGAAGGAATAGCTTCGTTTCATGATTAGTCATTTTCATACTGATGGTGTGTGTGCACAAAAGAAGAGCATATCTTCACAGGTTTATGTGCCTGTTTTGGGTTGGTTGGTTGGTTGGTTGGTTGGTTTAAATAAAATGCAATAGGCCCTAGAAAGTTATTTCAGGTACAGGTGCATTCCTTCTTGCACAAGTATTTCATTCGGCTCCAACCTCATCAGCAGGTAGGAAAATGCACCTGGAATTTTGACATTTTTCAAGGGCAACAAGGAGACACCTAAATATGGTGTTTGCTTCCCTAAGCCCTAACATTTAGTTTCCAAGCTGTGAGCCCAGGGTGATTCACTGGAGAAGTATGGATATTTTATACAATATTTATTTGATGAAGCAGACAGAGAGCCTTGAGGGAAATACAAAACACTTTGCAGTGCAATAGATAATATCAGAAATGTGGCTTTCCTTTATCTGGAGCTGCATTGACACAGAGGGTATTTTTCTCCCCCATGCTTGCAGCAACTGGACACTATGAGAATATAGATGTTGTCACAATGATAGACAAGGATGGTTAGTCGGTCTTTATTCCTGAGCATTAATGACAGCTCCTGGGTATGAATTCTAAGTTTATATAGGAGGACTCACACATCATATGTTTTTATTTCTATAGAAAAATAACTGAAGTAACCAAGAACAAAAATTGTGACTAATTAGAGTGGGTTAGACCCTTGCGTCTGTTCTTTGAACATGTTCAAGTTATGCTGAGCTCCCCTGAACCTGGTGTCAATGGTGTTTAGAGGTACATTTCCAAGTACAACTTAGGAGTTTTAGTTTTAGTTTTGATTCTAACCTTTGCCTTTTGACAATTGTTCTAAGTGACCTTTCTTTAAATTGGGAATTACTGGGGCAAAAGCTGTACTCTTTGATCTTCGAACTGTGGTATAAGAGAGTGGTATCTGTCTTGTTAAAATGGATTATGCCACCCTTGGATTCCTTTCTGGAGAGCCTTTCAAGTCTCAACAGGAAAGACTGTATGGCTTCACATTTAATTTAAAAATAATCTTGGAATAGCATTTTTTTTTCTGGTTTTCTACATCTTATCCAAGCTAATTAATTCCTATTAATATCATAGAGCACTGTTGATTATAACAACTAAAAATCAGTGCCTTTAAAATATTCAAGAGGAAATATCTTCCTTATAGCATGTGTTGATCTCCTGAATGGTCATTTTACTTTGTAAGCAAAAAGCTCTGGTTCTAATTGAAATGGCACAAAGATTTTTAGTTTAATACTGAAGAAAAAAAAATACATGTGAGTACAAGCATCTTTTCTGTTTTTAGCTATCATATACTCTTTGTTTATCAGTATTACAGGCAGTGTAATAAACCATCTTCTGGAGATGCATTGCTCAGCTCTTGCCACTTAAAAGTAACTTGAAATGAGCTTTTAAGGGACAACTCAATCACAACAGAGCTTTACATAGGCTGCTGCTGATCTAAATACTTAGCAACATGTCATTTAAATAACAATTCAAAAGTCAGCAGCTTGAAGAGGGTAAGCAGAACAGAATGAAAGGAAGCATTTCTTGGAAAAGAAAGAAATGTGTTAATTCCTTATATTCAGATTTCAATACATCAGATCATCTAGTAGCAAGATACATTCCTCAAAGTATTAGTATTCAGATTTAGTACACTATGTAGAATATGGCCTCTGGAATTAGTCCAGTGTAATTTATTTCATTATGATAATTTTTGGAATTATTGCATTGAACAGTTTACCAAACCTTCTACTGGCATGCCACTTCAAAATAATAATAATATAAAATGGGTAACTGATCTGAAAGCTATTAAAGCTTCTGTACTTGTATAGAACAGTGGCGCTTCCCACCATTATTCTGTTAAAGCCTTTTATCAATTCACTAGGCCAGTACAAAAAATAATTACTGCTTAAAACCTTTAAAACCTGCTGGTGCGCAGTTATCACAGGTTGGTTATCATGAGAAGTAATGTTCCCTATGTTTGGGAAGTTTCTAAAGACATACGTAACTTGGAAAAGTTCCACTATATGATGCTTACAATTAATACTAGAGACTAGAAAAAAGAAATGGCTCACAAGGTAAGGGATGTGTGTGTGTATACATGTGTATATATACACACACATATATATACACACACACTTTTCTACTGATACAAATTCACAGCTTCATTTAAATAGACAAAAAAAAAAGTGGAAATGGACTTTTGTTGCAAACTTATGTGAGAAGTTTGCAAAGAATTGTGCTTTCAAAACGGCTAGATATTTTTCTGTGTTTAATAGAGATCAAAAATGGTTCAAATTTAATATCCAACACTACAGCAGAAAGCTTGAAAAACAAAGAACAGACTGTACAGCAGCAGCATCCATATGTAACAAATGGATTCTCAGTCACCAAAAGGTATTCGCTTGGCAGTCTAGCCTTCTGTCAGACACCTAATCAAAATCCACCCCCTCATGTGTTACTGAACACACGAGAAGAAAGAATGCATTGATTTTGAATAAGTTGTTTTTGCCTCAGTCGGACAGTCACATCTTTATATCCATGTGAATTCCATTTCCAACCCATGGAATATCAAATAGAAACAAAGGTTTAATAGAAAAGCAACAATGGGGCCTTGGAGCCCTCAGTGAACACTTTTCCCTTCCCCAAATTACTCCATTTAGTAAAATAAAACATAACTAGTTCTGGACCCCATTCACTGTCTAGAGATTTTCAAGTATAAAAAACTCAACTACTAATTTGTGCACCATATGCGCCAGTGATATTACAAAATGCATAAAAATAACAACACATTATCAAGTTTTATTATACCTTAGATACTGTTTGCAATTTTGATTAGTTGCTGTCAGGTTGACTGTTAGGAAAATAGATATTGTTTTGTACAAGCACTAAGATAAAGTCAAAAAAAATTATCAAGCAAGGCAATCAACTGTTATATCTTTTGTACACTAATGTTCTGGATATAATTTGCAATGCTAGTCTTTTGCACTTAGCTTCCAAAATGCCTTGCATATACAGGTAACTGGATCAGTTGTAGTAGCTATGGAAATATTTTTTGCTCTACTTCAAGTGCCCTCTAGTGTGCAGTAACTAAGCAAGTTAAAAATCTTAAATTTTTTTTTCTTCTTAATAGTCTCTCTAAATCCCAAAGTAATGTGTAACACTGCTGCTCTTCTCAGGGGAAAGAGCAGCTCTGTGTTCACCGCATTAATTGTGTGCATATAAATGAATTCTCTGCTCTATGTAAAGTCAAGTAACCTCCTTTGCTGTCAAGTTTTTATTCTCACAGATAACAGTGAAATACAGCCCAATATTTTTTTAACATTCTGCTAAAGTTTACAGTGTTATCAGAATCAAAATAACTTAAGTCCTCTCTATCTCCAAAAAGAAATTAACTTATTAATCAACAAAATATTACCCTG